TTTTTTTTTTTGTTTATTTTCTCCGATTTTGAACCTATTCCTTCCAGTAATCTAGCAAGCTGTCAAAGTCAAGAGATGTTGTTTTCTTTTTAGCTCATATAAAGTGTTTTTGTCGCAAGTTGACGACGCGCATTCCAGTGAACAAAGAATGAACAATCCTTGGTTCAATGAAACGTAATTTTCCGATAGTTCCTTTGTAATTTGAAAATTATTACGGAGATGCCAAATACTGCTATAACTTAAATACCGTGTAGCTTCAAAATTGACCAGCAAGCATGCTCTTGTCGGTAGTCATATATTTCTGATTTTATAGAATAGCTTTTTCGAATAAAATGTTACCAAAAAAAGCCCAATGAAATGCGTGAAATTATAAGCGGAAAAAAGCTGCTTTTGTTGCTGTTCTTGTTGCTGATAATTTTGCATTAGATGCTGTCAGAAGAACAAAGAAGACCATCTGTATGCAGAAGTGAGTTGACAAAAAAAGACTTGTTTTTACTGGACAAAACAAGAACTGTTTAGATAAACAAAATTTACAGCAGAAAATAAGTATATATTTTTTTAAAATAATTCTTTGCATCAATATGTCGTCAAAATTTATGTAATCAAAGACGGATAAAAAAGAAACGTGGAAAGACAATAGCTGCTGTCAAGCCCATCAACTAGTTACAACCAACAGTGTTTATATAAACAAGTAACATACTACAAACCTTTTTCAAATGTAATCTTTTGGCTAACCTAAATCACAGGTTAAGCGTAACAAAATAAAGACATAGTCATCAAAGCGTTCACTTGATACTCAAAAATAAAAAAAAAAAAATATGGGCTTTCAGTGTGCCTGACCAGTCAGACTTTGTAACTTGCTGGAAACCATCTTGTGTACAGTAAAGCAAATGCAGGCACGACTAAAATCGAGGGGAAGTACGCAAACAAGCGAAAAAATAAAATTTGAAAAAAAAAATACAAGGATATACAGCCTTCATCTGTTACCATCGTTCCCTAGTAAGCCTTACATTGCAGTACGACTCATGCAGTCCAAGGTCAGACTTCTAAGTGATTTAAAACTGCTTGATCTACTGTAGTTGCTACTGATCAAAAAATTCATCTTTCTAAATTACAGTGACTAAATAACATTGAATTATCCACAGCTGACCTGGTCTTTCTAGTTTGAAGTAATTACCATTTTGAAATGTTTCCTCCAGTTATAGCCTTTAATTACTCTTCTTTATTTGGTAGAAAATTATAAACTTTCGATAAATTTTTCATTTGATCCTGTTCAACAGAATCCCTAACCCCCTGGTTTCAGTGCACGAATTTTGTAAAAGAAGTGAGAAAAAGTGAAAACCAAAAAGTCATTTTTAGCTACTCTGCAATGCGTAAAATAATCCGAACCAAAATTAGTTCTCTAACAAAAGCTACTCATTTCTTGAACAAGATAAGTGTATTTCGAAGTTCAGCACTATTGTTACTTTGAAGAACGTACAGTATTTCTTGTAAATTCTTAAAGTAAAATAAAAAAAGTTGTTGAAAATGCTAAGACCTTTGTAAGGTTTTCGACAAGAGCCATATCCACCTTACATTGCATAAGCGTATAAACAGAGACTGGTTTTTTAATCTTCGCAAATATTTAAAAAATGTCCACTTTTATCGCTTAGAATTTAGAAAAAAGTAAAGATTTTTCAATCTCTGCTCGAAATCCTCTTTCCAGGAAACTTGAACCATACTTACGTTAATGTGATTTCAGAGAAAGCGTATTCCTACGATGAAGATGAAAGATTTAGAGGTGTAGGAATGAGCAGTGGAAGCAACGATCAAATGCACTAAACAAAGAATAAAAATAAGCTATATAAAATAACACGGCTAGTATAAAACATTAGCACAGACTTCATAGGTCGGTTCACCAAAATCAAAAACGAAGACATACAAATATCACATAACACAAAGCACCGTATTCAATAAACCCAAGACACTGGAATCCACTGCGGACAGGCATGGAGCTTTTCAACGACAATCTCCAACTGTCTAATTGTTTCCTCCATGTCGTTGTTAACGATTACAAAATCAAACAGGTGACCGTAAGCTTGACGAATAATCTCGCTTTCTCGAGCCAAAATTTCTAGACTGCCATCCGGCTGAAATACAGTAGCTACGTATAAATTAAATAATAATGCGATATTTTGCTGCGCAGTTATTCATATAAAACAAAAAATTAAGGAGAATAAAACAGATAAATAAAAAAAATATATATGCATTTATTTGTTTACTTATTGGTTTACACTAGTATGTTCATTTGAAATGAAGAAGTACAAGTATGAATACTAACATCATCCAAGCCTTGAAGGTTTGGTGCTCCGATAAATACTACAAACGGTGAATATTCAGCAGTTCGTAACATTTTCAGTGCCTAAAAAAACAGTTTTCCATTACCCTACATTGCTTACGCCATTATTAATTACCAAATGGGGCTTTTGTAACCCTTTAGAATACAAAGTACTGAAAGAATTGAGATAACAAAAAAAAGCCAATATTACTAAATGCTGCTAAAGTGAAAAAATATTGCAATTCGTAAGGTAAAACAAATTTTAAACAAGTTGATTTTTCCAACAAACATGTAGCTGCTGCAAGCTATAAACTAGAAGTGTATAAACTTTTAAAAGCGAAAAGAGTTGTCCACATCCTAAGAAAAAAAGGCACGAAATTGTTTACGAAAATTTGTAACTTAAGTGACCTGTGAGAATTCAAGCGGAGCGGGGAAGCCGTATTTAGTATAATATTATGCAACTAAATATAGCAAAATTTTTCTAAAAATAAAAAGTGAACCAGTCTTTTATAAACTTTTTTAACCATAATAACATTTTTAGAGCAAATAGTTGTCAGTAATTCTAGCTTTTAGACACCGACCTTACAAAATGCGATATAAAGATTATAGAATAAGCAGTTATACAGACAGCGATAAAGCAATAAAACATTAATCAATTAATCAAAAGCCTCAAACTTTCTTTGACTAGAATGAAGCAAATCCAGAAAAAAAATTTTTCAATTTCCACAAAAGTGCTCACAACGAACGAAGGATGAACCAATGATATAAACCAGAGAAAAAAAAACAAATTAGGCTAAATTAAAAAGAAGAAGTGCAGAATTAATCAAAACTATGTGAGAAATGATAGAAAAAAACCACCTATTTCAGCCTAAAGACTAGACTTACTTAAAAAACAGAAAAACTAGTTTAGCTAAAAATAACCGCGCCAAAATCGATTACCTGAGGTTCAACATCAAGTATAGCCATTTTTCCAGTCCTGTGAATATTCCTAATAGTCTCTAATTTCGTGCCGTACATACATTCTTCATGTCTTCCATATTCCAGATATTCATTAGCTTGTATATCTGCTAACATGCTGTCAGTCGATACGAAAAAATAATGTTTACCATCAACTTCATCTTTGCGTGGTTGCCGAGTTGTATCTGTAGAGATGTATATTTAAAGTTTAAATTGATTAGAAAAGGGTGTGAATTCCATTTATTCTTACGTGGAATAGGATAAGCGAATCTTTGAGGATGTCGATGAATCAGCGTATTCTTTATATGACGTCTTCCAACACCATGAGCTCCCAGTAACACTAATGTCTTTCTCCTGTATGTTGTCAGTCGTACTACCTACAGTAAATATAGTTATGTTTTACGACCTTTATTTACAGTTATGAAACCTCATTTGCTCAGTGCCATTATGCTCTTTTACAATAGATTTATGTGTAAATAAAAAATGAATAAAATATGACAAGAAAACTGAAAGCAGAAAATTGAAGCATTACGTAAGTACCTCCTCGTAGCTAACAAGATCCAATTGATCAAACAGTGCTGAATGCTTTTGTAAGTATTTTGTAGTATAGTATTTCTTCTTTTTGTTGAACCACATACAATGAGCTAAATATCTGTTATTAACAATGGTTTTTTTCTCTATGTATGTCTTTAGTATAGTACGTTACAGTGCATTAGATGTTCAGCGGTCCACTGATATAAACGCTGTAATCACCACCAGTCAAAAAAGATGACAGTAAAAATTCTAACTGTTTTCTTTCGCTCGTTCCATAGCCACGCATGCTGTTCGCCATTCCTGTAATTCTGGAGATGGAATTAGACCGGCTGTGACTGTTGTACCATGCGAATTTGACTGTATATTACCAATAGCTGGAAATGGACAAACAAACCGAGCTTGCCACCAATTATGGTCATCCTTCGACATGATCTATAAAATACACTGAATCAACACAGAACTGTTACGTAGGCAAAGCAAAAGTTTTTAAAAAAAATTTCATCTGCTTTATCACAGATGCAGAAGGCTTCATTTCGGATTGAATCTAAAAAAAATGAATTTTGACCTGTAAAATATCGCCAGTCCTGAACGGAATTCCAGCCTGTTGACACGGAATTAGATCGTCTTGAGTTGGATCATAATCGTACTGAGCTCGCACAAAAATTTCACAAGGTGGTGGTGCACTGCGACAAGAAGGAATTATTTTGAACGTCACAGGCCCCCGAGCATCTCGCAACATACGTTGAAGAGTTTCGACACTCTGATTGCAAACAGTAACACCATTCATTTCCCTTATTTCATCTCCGACGTGCAGAGTAGCTAGAAATAAAATTACAATGATTTACTTCAAATCTAGATTAGAAAATTCTAAACAAAAGCTGGAAATACAGAAACATTTTTCGCGGCGTTCAAGGATAGAGTACTTAAAAACCATTCGTGCCTCAACAGCTAAAACACTGCTCCCAAGTCCCTCAGTGAGTCCAAAAATGGTATGGAAAAGACCAATGGTTCAAGCCAAAAAAAAGAGAGAGAAAAATCAAAAAAGTTGGAAAACTTAAACTACTCAGAAATTAAAGTAAAAAGAAAGAATGCTTATTCTTTTTGCGTGAACAACCTTGACGATGAATCATTCCGCCGTGCATTATTCGTGCCACCAAACAGCGACCGTCTTCAGTCACCTGAAGCACTTCCAACTCACTTTAGATTACTTTAGATTCTTCAAAGAAAACTGATTTTCTTTACAAGAAACACTGTTCAAAGAACAAAAAATTTTGGCAGAAAAAGCTATTTAATCGCAACAATAACAAGCTAAACCTTAAGAGTTATCCCCATCGGTTCGTCGGTATCTTTTTGAAATTGAACAAGCCGAACTCGGCTAACAACATCCATCGTCAAGTCATCGTCATCGTCGAACAGTGGAGGAATAAATGTGTTCCGTGACTCCTCAGAGCAGGAAGCTGTGGTAGCATGTGACAAAACACCGCCATTCAGATAGGAATACGGCAGCTGACCGACATGACTCACCTATAAAAGCTATTGAGTTTAATTTAACTTTAAATATTTGGAAAGTGAGAGAAGATTTAAGTTTTTTCAACTGTTTTTGAATAAACTCTTGTCGGCTTCAAAAATTTATTAAGTTTGTTCGAATTACTTGGGAGGCATTAGAACATTGCGGCTCTGAAGTGGAACCAACGATGTGATTTTGCGATAACTCATCTTTCCCGCTATCCTCGTAGATTTCATGAACAATCACATCATAAACTTGCAAAAGTGACTGAAAACTGATGCTTTAGATAACAAAATTAAATAAAGATGGCAAAAAAATGAGACATCTTAAATTTGCCAGATATAAATAAATTACTTTGTTGTTTTTCACCTCAGAACAGAGTGCAAATCAATTGTTCAGAATGAAAACTCTAAAAGTTGTACCATAAAAATAAAAACAAAAAAAAAATTATAGCAAACTCGTAAAAGCAAATTTTAAAAAATGGCAACAGCAAAACACTTTGACAAACTATTAAGTAGTTTTTCTGCTCTCGTGCACTTTCACTCACCACCCTTCCTCTCTAATTTTCAGCTGATGATCGCTTACTTAGTACCAAGGTTCTACGTAACAACAACAACAAAGAACAGCGGTCAAATTTTGTTGTTTTTATAAAAAATTCTGTCGGAGACGAAAATTTCAATTACGAAAGAAACTGCAGAAATGCGATGGAAGGAAGAGAGAGGGGGTGAGCCAAAAATAATAAGATAAAAATAGAATCGATGATGATGAAAAAATTAGTAATCAGAGGTCGCCTAAAAAAAAATTAAGTTTAGCATAACACAACTCCTTCCTTTGCATAACCTCAATCTACTCAAAAAAAAAGAAAAAAAACAGGTCAAAAAACAGTCAAATAAATTACAAGTTTGCAAAAACAAAGAAACGCAAATAAGGCTGACTAAAAAAAAATGACGAAGCTATCAGTCAGACACCAAAACCATTAGAATATGCTTAATAACTGTTTATTCAAACTGTCTTATCCTTAGTTTTTTACAGCTCAGCCAAATAACATATGACGATGAAAATAAAAAAAAAATTTTAGAGAGCTTTCTTCTTCCCATCTTTTTTTAATTGAACAAGCAATGAGGAAACACAGAAATTGATTAAAAGAAAAAAAAAACGAACTGAATACCAGACTGAAGAAATAGTTTTATTTTTTCCCCTTGAAAATGAGAGAAGTTAATCAAAATCTAAAGTAAAAAGAAGGAAAAAGCATGCGGAAAGACGTGAGTTTTGGTGCTGCATTACGATAAATGACGTTAATTCCGAACACAGACAGCATAATTTACATTGGTTTCTTTGAAGGACGTCTTGAAACATTTCATTAGTGATTTCAACAATTGCTTTTCCATTTCATTCGACAAAAAAATTTGCTGCTATCTTGTAACAATTTTTTCTTCTTATAATTAACTCGATATCTGTCAAAAAAAAAAAAAAAACTGTTCTTTTTTAGCTCTTTTAACATGTCTTTTTTAGCAGCAGATAGTGCAGTTTGCATTCAAATTAAAAGATTTTGCTCTTGTCACAGCCTAACTGTTCATCATTAAATACTGTACCAAACTCTTCAGACAAGAATATTTGTTGATTTAGATTTTCTTTTCTGCCTGCTTCGCTCAGTAAACTATTACTTCGGTGCAGTATTTACTACACTATCGTTGCTGATGTATAGATGCCTCAGATAGCTTAACAAAAAATTTATGTTTCCTAAGCAGTAATTTTTTTGCATTTAATTTGCTCAACAAATTCAACGGTTTTTTGGAGCCAAACGACAAAGAAATGTTGTTTGGAAAGTCATTGAAGCAAATATATATTTACATAGAAGATATGCAAATAAATCTAAAAATTTGTGAAAATATATATGCCTAAATCTTCAACTCAATGAGATTTTAAAGCAAAATTAGAAGAATCACCTGAATCTTTTTTGACGATAACAAACGTCGTAATTCATCAGTTTCTTCGCTTGGTTGCAAAAGTTCATTTATTTGTGAACAAACCTAAAAATAAATTAAAAATTAACTTTTTTTTAATATTCATTTTTAATTAAACTTCAAGATAAGACTAAAACTAAATAAAGTAAGACTTGACTGAAATTGAAGCTTAAGAGAGCAAAAAACGAAAGATTGGCGCAAAAACATATGAAAAGCCACAAACCGCTGCATTTTGGCAAAGACAATTCTTCAGAGATTTAAAAACGACAAATTTTTTTTGAATTTTTTTTTACTTCAATTGAAAAAAACTTTTTAAGTTTTATTTTTTTCCTATTCTTTATAAAAATAGTGAAAAAAAACTACCAAATTCAATGTATTAATTCGAAAAAAAAAAAAAAAAAAA